TTTGGAATTTTATATTTTTTGGTAAACAGTAGCAGTTCTGTCTTAGAGGGATTAACACCTACGTCACACCTTGAGGCCCATTTACTAAGGTTCACAAAAGCACCCTTCATGATGCTACTCAGCACCGAAGGACACATGCCTGTTACCAGAAGGACAACATCATCCGCATACGCTACTGCTTTGACTCCACCCTGGTTAAGCCTTTAAAGCAGTGAGTTCATTGTTAAAATCCATAACAAGAGAGATAACACTCCGCTTTGTGGTGTATCCCTACTAACGCATTTCTTAATGCTAAGATTGCCCATCTCTGCATTGATGATTCTAAACCCAAGCACAGAAGCGATCCATCGAGAGATGCAGGCCGGGATGTTTATTTCGCTGAAGGCATCCTGAATGGCTACCGCACTGACGTTATTAAAAGCTCCTTCTATATCCAAGAAGGCGGCTTAGGTAAATTGTTTACATCCAAGAGATTTCTCCACCATAGTAATAACCTCATGTAGTGCCGTTTCTGTGGACTTCCCTTTGAGATATGCATGTTGAGCCCTTGATATTTTAGCGAAACTGTGTAAAGATCTGATGTAAGCATCGATCAGTCTTTCCATAGTTGTAAGTAAAAATGAAGTAAGGCTGATCGGTCTATAATCTTTAGCCGTACTATGGCCTGTTCTACCTGGTTTTGGGATAAAAACTACTCTAACTTGTCTCCAGCCGCTGGGGACATGATTAAGTGAAAAGCAGCTACAGAAAATCGTGGACAGCCAATTTACAGCTCCATCTCCCAGAGATTGTAACATAATTGGTAAGATCCCGTCAGGACCCGGACTTTTCTTGGACAATTTCTTGGATTCCCGAATTGCTTTTTTGTAAACCCTAAGACCATCTTTATATGGAATCCAAACCTTGGTCCGATAGCTTTCGTTGAAAGCTCTTCTTGCATTCCTGCGGAGCAAAGAGAGCTTCTCGTTCCACTATGGTGGCCTACACTTCTTCGCATACGAGCGAGGACATGATGCTTCAAAGGGAGAAATAATATTATTTGTCAAAGAGTTGACCCTACACACCAATTCCCTAATCGATTTAATTGGAGCGGGGTCTATGTTGATTTTTCTACTGAGCAATGACCTGAAAGTATCCCAGTTTGTCTTTCTGGGATTGCGGTGAGATTTCTTAGCTTCCATGGGAACATCCATCACAAACATGATATATCTATGATCAGAGAAGGAGTTCCTGGTTGAAACTCTCCAATCATTGATCGTTAAAGAGCACGAAGTCGAACAAAGGGTAATATCTAAAACTTCTTCCCAGCCTACATGATCATCCGTACTCGGAAAAATAAAGGTGGGAGTATTATCCTTATTACATACTTCTAGATTGAATCTTAATATAAAATCAAAAAGAAACTCACCTCTATCGTTAATTTCCGAGCTTCCCTACAAGGAGTGCCGGGCTAGCTTCTCGGTCTGCACGAAATTTTGGACTAGTAGTACCCCCTCTGGAGCTGCCTCATCATCGTGTGGCATATTGGCGGATGTTACTAAAACCGCAGGTTTTAGCTTCCGCTCTATCCGGATGGTGGTGATATCTAAAGAACTTATATGAGAGCAGAGAAAAGCATTAAGGCGCGTTTTTGCTAAAATGCACGATCTTGGCTTACCCTGTCCTTTATCATAAAAAAGATTATACCCATTGATGTTGAGCCCTTTGACACATGAGCTATGAACCCAGAGCTCTTGGATGATGGCAAAGTCGATGTCCTCCTCCCTGAGTAAGACGCCAGATTGTCCGTGGCACACTTAGAGTGTTTCAGGTTTATCTGCACGACCTTGGCCATTGATACATCAACAAAGTTTGTTATCGATGATGAGATCATCTAGCAGCTTACTAATGCCCTCAACCTCATCCAAAATATTATCCGGTGGCGCGTTTTTGAAGATTTTAATTTTTGCCTTCCGGATGCCGTAACGCAGCTTGCAGTCATTAGCCTCAATGACTGGCAAGCATTCTTCGTTGATAAGAAGTAAGTATGATTGGCTGTGTTTTTGCGGTTCTTCGGTCTTGAGAACCGATCAGACCTCCATCTGGATTTCTGGATTTTGTAGCTTTTGCTGCGGCAAAATAAGGTCAGGAGGTCCAAGGTTTTTAGGTAACCATACGCGCGCTCGAGGCCTCGATGGAATTTCCGCCGCAGAGACAAGTTCGAGCTTTAAACCGTCCCAGTTCTCACTAATCTTAGTAATCGCCTTGCTGAGAAAACTCCGCGAATGCTCGTCGTCGCATCTGATCACTCGGTGACTACGGACGATATCTGCACAGTCAAAAGAAGGAACGGACCCCGGATTAGTCATGAGCTCAGCCATAACCAATTCGGACAGTTTGGTCTCAATCAGCGCCCACCTCTCCATCAGCAGCTTGCCGTTAGAGTTGTGTTCGTCGATCAAGGCCACACTGAGATGGTCTCTCGCCACTTTACTGAAGGGACGAGTAGCTTGTGCCGGTCTTTCCATCCCCCATTCCATCTTTGTGCCGCTTCGCCTCCTTGCCGGGATCTTCCTGAGATCTGTTACGCTTGCCGCCATCTCCGACGTTCTAGCCGGTGATAACAGACTGGCGCAAACCTTTATCATGCAGATACGAAAGAAGCGACCACAACAGCAGCGTCCCATACCATGGCTAGACCACAGTTACTCCCCAAGGTGGTCATATATTGGAGAGGCTCCGCAAAAATACAGTCGGACAGACCCCTTGACTGCAAACATGTACTCGGTGAGCACGGATCGCGTAACACTCCCGAGTTAAGGGGACCTTCAAACCATGATCAGAAAGCATTGAGTGGTGTGCAGCTATTAGAGAGCTAAGGACATTCACTCAATTCCTCCTGATCTTAGCTGGGCACCATCCTGACAACGTACAGGACGAGAAAACTGTGTGACCCATTACCAGACGGCACTCTCGTGGAGGGTTCAGTGGAAGGATTTTTTGCCATCCAAAATTACTGTATATTTCTATACAAATGACTAATGGATACACGGTTACCACGGGTATGTGTTTACGTAGGTGTCAACTTTGTAAACTTTTAAATCGTCAGCCGCTTTACCAAGAGCAATGGAAATTGATTTAAAATGCTCAGAAGTTCTAAAATTTCCACGATCCGGAATTTCAATATTATAGTAGCATCACTGGTTTATAAGATATAATAGCGCAAAGTGGAAATGGATGCACGGGTACACGGGTGTGTGTTTTAGGGTTAAAGGAGGTGATCCGCATGATCCGCATCCAAATTATACGGTATTATCCTTTATAAATTCGATAATAAAAGTATTTACAGGCATTGTTAAGCCAACTTGGCATCATAATGCTTTTTTTTGTATATTAATATTAACCAATGTTTTTTTTTTAAAGTAGAGAAAAATCAATTGTAACAAATGTTTTGTATCATGATAGAAAAGTCAATTGTAACAATTTATTTGTAACATTTGTATTTTTTTTAAGAACATGCTTTTACTTTGTTGTTGCGAATTTTTTTTTTACTTGCAATAAAAATTACTGTTCGTGCGTTCACGTGCATAACCCAATATCAGTTGTTGATTTTTAATTTCTTTTCAATTAAAAAAAAGTAAAAAAAAGAGGTGAGGGGTGCAAATGCTCAGTGTTCCAGTTTGGTCATAAACTAGGAATACCTTCGAACTCACTCTTTTTTACATTGGCGATCCTGCCAGGAGACCGTTTTGCATAAACGTTGACAAAGGTGCACTGAAACCTTACATACGGACTTCGTGCATTGTTGGTGTTTTTTCGTTAAACGTGAACAAGAGATCACAGAACTGTTACGTGGATAATTTGATTTGCTGTAATAATGTCTGAACCATCTTTATCATCAAATACCGGTAGTCAAGGTAATGTTTCAAATAATGATGTTTCCACTCCTGATGAGCTTAGACAGCAACGTGCGTCTTCAAAGGGGAGCCTTACACGAATTAAGAACATTATTGATGCGTCAAATAACTTGTCTCCTACTGAACTTGAGTGCAGATTAGGTATGGTCGAATCGTATTATAAACACGCAGCGTACTATCAAGGTCAAATTGAACGTTTGTTGCCAGAAGATATATGTCGCTCGGAAATTGACGAACTATATGTCATAGTAAAATCACGTATTCTGAATCTTCTCGACAACAGAAGAAGCTCACAATCACATGAACATACATTTTCAATGCCTCAAATGCAGTACAATCGTTTGCCTAAATTACGTTTGCCGAGATTTGATGGCAAATATCTCGAATATAAAAACTTCATAAACTCTTTCACGAATCTCGTTCACAGCGATCAATTCATTCCACCTATTGAGAAGTCCAACCATCTGTTATCGTGTCTATCCGGCGAAGCTTTGTCAACAATTAAGTCGTTCCAAGTAACTGAAGAAAACTATGGCAAAGCACTAGACAGACTGAAAGAGCGGTATGACAATGATACAATCATTTTTTTAGAAAATATTTCATCTATATTCGATATGCTCAAACGAGGCATAATGTGAAACCGCAATCAATTCAAACTTATCAGCCGCATTCATTAGAAAAGGTTAGCAAGCCAAAACAGTATTCATTTGCGATCAAAAATATTCCTGAAAGGTCATGTACATATTGTTCCAAATCAGTTCATAATATTTTTACTTGTATCAATTTCATCGTGCTTCCATTAGAACAACGTCGTGATCAAGTACAACAGCATCAACTGTGTTTCAATTGTTTATCAAACCTCCACACTGTATCACAATGCAGCTCAAAATATTCTTGTCGATTTTGTAAACAACGTCATCATACGTTGCTTCACAAACATGATTTAAATACGTTTGTAAATTCTAACATTTCATCATCAAGAAATGATCAACTTAGTAATCCAGTTACACATGCTATTTCACAAAGGAGTGTTAAGAAGACAAATAGTACCATTATTTTAGCAACAGGTCTATTCTTATAAAAGATTCTACCGGAACGTACCAAATGGGCCGAGCGTTTTTAGATTCATGTTCGCAAGTGAATTTCATTACCGATTCTCTGGCACGGGCTCTAAATTTAAAAAGGTCGAGATCTGAAGTGGATATCGTTGGTGTTGGTTCTTCTGTGCTGAAAATTCAACATAATACGCAAACTACAATCCGATCACGGATAACCGAGTTTGAAACATCACTAGATTTTCTCATTTCAAAGAACATTAGTAGCTATCATCCAGATAAAGCATTTTCGTTGAAAGATTTAAATATTCCATTACATATGGAACTTGCAGATCCAGAATTTAATGTCCCTAAAGGTATTGATATGTTACTTGGAGCAGAAGCTTTCTTTTTGTTGTTAACGCAAGGTCGAATGTCTTTGGGTAAAAACTTGCCAATTTTACAAAATACTGAATTTGGTTGGATTGTGTCCGGAAGGTATGCTTTGTCACATAAACCGATTGAAGCAGTCAGTCATTGCACCATCAATCAATCGAAGCTTTGAACAAAAATATTGAAAAAATGTGGCAATTGAAAGACGTCTCTAATAAACGTCAGAAGTGGTCAGAGGAGCAAATCATGTGTGAACAACATTTTACTGATAATGTATCTGTAAACTGTGATGGAAGAATTATGGTGAAACTACCATTTAAAAATAGTACAGATTTATTAGGTTGCGTTACGTCGATTTTATGCTTTGGAAAAAAAAGCTTGAAAAGAATATTCAGCTCAAAAAAGAATATTCAGAATTCATGAAAGAATACGAAGAATTGGGACACATGTCATTGATTCATAGTCCAAATTTATCAACACCTCAGTATTATATTCCGCATTATTGCGTGCTGAAGTCAAGTAGTGAATCAACTAAGTTACGCGTGGTGTTCGATGCTTCTTTCAAAACGGCATCACAGATCTCACTAAATGACATCCTTGCAGTGGGTCCTACCATACAAAATGAATTACTCATTAATCTGCTACGTTTTCGTTACCATAAATATGGACTTATGGCGGACATAACGAAAATGTATCGTCAGATTATGGTACATCATCAGGATAGGAATTATCAGTTAATTTTCTGGCGCAGTGACAAGTCGTTACCCGTATCAACATACATGTTAAATACAGTGACTTACGGAACTGCTGTTGCCCCATTTCTAGCTATACGTAGTTTATCCTATGCAGTCGATACATTTCCTGGTAATCATGAGCTTGAAAAAAAAATAATAAAAGAAGATTTTTATGTTGATGATATGTTAACAAGGGCTGATGATTTACTTCACCTTCAACAAATTAAATATGAAGTTACTGACATACTTCAATACTTTCAAATGCCGTTATCTAAATGGCATAGTAATCACCCTGATTTAAATTGTTCTGCAGCGTGCTCCATCACTACCAATAGTGATCTAACTAGTGCACTTGGTGTAATTTGGTGTCCAATTGATGATTATTTTACGTTCAATTTTAAATTGAATGATTCTTCAAATACCGTTTTCAAGCGATCAATCTTATCTACAGTCGCAGCATTGTTTGATCCAATGGAGTTGATTAGTCCGATTATTATAAAGGCTAAGATACTTCTTCAGAAACTGTGGATCTTGAAGTATGATTGGGATGACGCAGTACCTGACACAATTTCACAGGCTTGGAGAGAAATTATCATCAATTTTGAACAAATATCTACTTTCAAAATTCCTCGTTTTGCTTTAATGTTAAATCCAGTCAGTATAGAAGTTCATGGATTCGCTGACGATTCAATAAAGGCTTACGGTTGCTGCATATATTTTAAATGCACGGATGCAATTGGCAATATATGTACCAAACTCGTGACTTCCAAATCTAAAATTGCTCCCTTGAAACAACGGTCACTTCCCCGTTTAGAGCTTTGCGCGTCTCACCTTCTGTCTAAATATTGGCATCAACTTCAACCTCATTTCAAAAGGTCTTTTGCTAACGTATTTCTTTGGACGGATTCACAAATTACGTTGCATTAGATTTATACTCATTCTTCAACATTATCAACATTTGTTGGAAATAGAGTAGCAGAAATACAAGAATTGACTAATGACTTTGAATGGAGATATATTCCATCAGAATTAAACTCAGCAGATCTAGCATCTCGTGGATGTTCTACGCGAGATTTAGTTAAGTCCCAATGGCTAACGGGACCATCGTTCCTCAACAGTTCAAAAATTGATTGGCCTTTAGAATTTACTTCGTTTTCATTGACTGACGAAGAAGTCAATTTAGAAAGAAAAAAAACGGCATTAATAATTGAAAATAAACCCGTACCATACGTTTTGCTTAAAATAAACAATATTAGTAATTACTTAACATGTTTAAGAGTAATAGCATATGTTATCCGCTTTAAAACTCGAATGAAAAATGAATACATTTCTGCTACTGAGCTCGACAATGCTCTTCATATAGTAGTGTAGATAATTCAACAATACAGATTTAGTGATGAAATTAAACAATTGGAACAGGTGGGTCATGGTAAAGGTAATTTAGCCACATTAGCGCCATTCATTGATAAAAGCGGAGATTGTTTCTTATTACGTGTAGGAGGTCGTCTAACAAATGCTGATACACCAGAAACATTTAAACATCAATTGTTGTTACCAAAGGATGAACCATTTGTTCGAAATCTGGTAATGTACCTTCATCGAGTTAATTATGTTGGCCCTCGTGCATTAGTTGCAACTATTCAACAACGTTTTTGGATAATAAATTGCAAATCATTAGCAACTTCAGTTATAAAAAAATGTGTCCATTGCGCACGATATAAAGCCAAATTAATCAATCAAATAATGGCACCTTTACCAAAGGAAAGGGTTACACCAAGTAGACCTTTCACAGTGACAGGCGTCGATTTTGCTGGGCCTATTTTTACATATTTAAAAATTCGTGGTAAAGCACCGTATAAATCATACATTGCGGTTTTCATTTGTTTTGCTACTAAAGCAGTTCACTTAGAGGTAGTCACTGATTTAACCAGTGATGCAATCATTGCCGCGCTAAAGAGATTTGTGGGACGACGAGGTCTGCCAAGGATAATACATTGTTACAACGCGTCAAATTCTGTTGGTGCTGAAATAAAATTAAAAGAGCTTCGACATCAGTTTCATCAAGATTCCATGAAGAATACAATTATATCTCACTGTGCAAATGAAGGAATAGAATTTTCATTTATTCCTCCTCGCGCCCCACATTTTGGGGGTCTTTGGGAGGCTGCTGTAAAAACTGCCAAAGGCCATCTCTATCGCACATTATCTATTGCTCATCTTACGTTCGAAGAACTTACAGCATCATTAGTCGAGATTGAATCAATCATGGCTTCTCGACCGCTCACAGCAACTTCAACAAACCCCAATGACTTCGAATCTCTGACGCCTACGCATTTTTTGATTGGCACGTCATTACAAGGTATTTCTGAGCCGTTTTTAAAGAACGAAAACATTGCACATGCCCAACGCTGGCAACGAATATCAGCAGCAAAAACACACTTTTGGAAAAGATGGCAGTGCGAATATTTAGCAGACTTGCAGAACCGATATCGTTGGAAATATGATCAAGATAACGTTGCAGTTGGCAACTTGGTTATCATTTATGACGAGCACGCTCCTCCGATGAAATGGTTAATGGGTCGTATTGTGAGTGTGAAAACAGGCGCTGACGGACGTGTTCGCGTTGCTGATGTACAAACACCAACAACAGTTTTACGACGCCCTGTTGCTAAGTTGGCACTTCTTCCAATTAATTGAAATTTAGTATTTCAATAGGGGCCGGGATGTTAAGCCAACTTGGCATCATAATGCTTTTTTTTGTATATTAATATTAACTAATGTTGTTTTTTTAAAGTAGAGAAAAATCAATTGTAGTAAATGTTTTGTATCATGATAGAAAAGTCAATTGTAACAATTTATTTGTAACATTTTTAGTTCTTTTTTTTATACTTGCAATAAAAATTACTGTTAGTGCGTTCACGTGCATAACCAAATATCAGTTGTTGATTTTTAATTTCTTTTCAATTTAACAAACCCATCGAACCGTGGGTAAAAAAAAAGAGGTGAGGGGTGCAAGTGCTCAGTGTTCCAGTTTGGTTATAAACTAGGAATACCTTCGAACTCACTCTTTTTTACAGGCATATTACATCACCGGCTGCAAAGTTGGGTCGACGATAAAAAACTATAGAGTGAATATTAAGCAGGCTTCAGGCGAGGATATTCAACTGTGGATAATGTTTTCACTGTGATAAATATTGGAAAATTATACGCGGAATGCAGGAAAAAGTTGTACATATATTTTGTAGATTTTAAATCTGCATTTGATTCTGTTTTCAGAGAAGTAATGTTTTTTTATAAGTTAAATAATTATGGAATATCTATGAAAATGCTAAAAATATTGAGAGCATTATATTATAATGCGATTGCAGCAGTATAGGATGGAAACAGTCTTTTCAAGTGCTTTTCTTCGGACATAGGGTTGTTTGATGAGCCCTTTATTGTTTGCCTTGTTCATAACTGATTTAATATTTTAATAAATTTAAATACATGTTATTAAAATACTTTTATATGCAGATGATATACTACTTATGGCGGACTCACGTTAAGGAATGCAAACCAAGATCAATGAATTTTATGTCTACTGTATGATATGCAAACTTAAAATAAACTCTTCTAAAACTAAAATTATGATATTCAAATAGAATTACAGGAGCCTGATGAATAATGAAATATAGAACATAAATGGTGACATTTTCAAAGTAGTAAAGGAATACAAATATTTAATAGTTTGGATCTCATATAATGGTAAATTCAATGGACATCTCATTAAAAAGTTAAGTGAAAAAAGAAAAGCAATAAACTCGTCGTGGAAAATAATCATTCATTATACCCATAAAAAGTGTTGGCAACCCTGGCCAGTGATGACAGATGACGTACAAAGAAGAATATACATGTTAGTTTTGTTACTTATGAAATAATAATAACTAGGAGTTTTTGATAAATAAAGATCGAAATTATACAGATATAATAGTGGCGACGAGGATACGAATTTTTTTTGCATTACATAGAAAAATATGTGTACAAAAAAAAAATGAATCCACAAGAATTCCAGGTATTTTTTCAAGAAATGCAAAACCAACATGCGAAAGACACGGAAACAATGCGTGAGCTTTTCAAGGAGTGTTTGCAAATGAAGATGCATACTGAAGCATTTCCGAAAACAGAAAAACCGGAGCAAACAATGGAGATTTTAGATTGGAGTGTCACGGAATTTGTTTATGATCCAGAAAATAACCTAACATTTGAAACGTGGTACACGAGGTATGAAGATTTATTCTTGGTAGATGCTAGCAAACTTGATGACGTAGCGAAGGTCAGGCTTCTATTAAGGAAACTCAGTACAACTGTATATAACAAATATATGAACTTTATTTTGCCTAACCGTCCACGTGAATATAATTTCACTACAACAGTGGAGAAATTAAAACAACTGTTTGGACTCCAAAAGTCACAATTCAGCTTACGCTATAGCTGTTTACAGTTAACCAAACCACCAGATACCGACTATACTACGTACGCAGCCGAGGTTAATAAACACTATGAAAATTTTAAATTGAATAGCCTGTCACTGGACCAGTTCAAATGTTTAATGTTCGTATTGGGGCTGAAATCAGAAGCAAACTTCGAAATAAGAACCCGAATATTGACCAAACTGGACACAGAAGCTAATACCATTAACTTGGAGAAACTTACAAACGAGTGTCAGCGTATCATTAATATAAAATCCGACACAGCGCTGGTAGAAAATAAATCACGCGAAAATCAGGTTAATCGATTACAAGCAAATAAGCTTAAGAACAATCACAAACCGAAAACACTATGCTGGTTTTGTGGAGCAATGCATTATGTGCGTGACTGCCCATTCAAAAATCATAAATGCGAAGACTGTCACAACATAGGCCATAAAAAAGGTTATTGCAAAGCGAAAAATTCAGCAAAATCAAACTGCAATAACAACATCAAAAATAATAGCAATGGTAAGGCAAGAGCATTTTCACAATCACGATCCAACAGTATATACACAACGAACAACATCACAGCTTCACAGCGCAAATATGTCCACGTTAAAATCAACAATGTGCTAATCAAATTGCAATTTGATATTGCATCGGACATAACTATCATTTTAAAATTTAATTTCGACAAATTAAATATTTTAAATACAATGGAAGTACAACGAGAATCAGCTAAAAGTGCAACTGGAAACTTACCATTGTACGCAAAATTTACATGCGATGTGCAGTTAAAAGACACAATTAGAACACTTACGTGATTCGTTTGAGCGATCGATTTGAACGTATTCGGATTGGACTGGATAACTGCTTTTCAACTTAGCGATATGACGCTTAATGCTATTTGCAGCCAAATTTCAACAACAAAACAGGCAAGTAATGTTCCCATAAACTCTTCAAATTGCAAATGTCTTCCGGAAAAATTATTTCCAGAACTTTTCGAGAATGCTATGGGTTTTTGTAATAAAACTAAGGCACATTTAAGATCTCGACATTATCGCACCTATCAATTACTCTGACCGCACCAATCGTAGTTATCAAAAAGCCAAATGGCAGCATTCGTATTTGCGCTGATTTCTCAACTGGTCTTAACGACGCGCTTGAATCTTACAAGTATCCACTACCGCTTCCAGAGGATATTTTGGCAAAAATCAGCCTCTTACCAGCAAAATGATTACTAACGAAACAGCTAAGAACAAGGTTTTAGCTAAAATTTTCAAATATGTAACTGAAGGATGGCCATCAAACTGCAACAACAATGAGTTGAAAGCTTACTGTAACTGAAGAAACGACATATGTATAGTTGACGGATGTTTAATGTTCGGACAACGCATTATTATACCTCAAATTTTCCAAAAGCGCATTCCTAAAGAAATTCACCGAGGTCATCAAACCATACTAAAGCCATCGCGCGGAACTACGTTTATTGGTCAAATATCGATTACGATATTGAAGCAATGGCGAAAAGTTGTTCAAATTGTGCAGCAGCAGCTAAAATGCCCACAAAAACAACTTTACATCCTTGGCCAAAACCTTCTGATTCTTGGGTATGGCTCCATATTGATTATGCAGGACCAATAGATTCATACTACTATTTAGTCGTAATCGATGCGTTCTCAAAATGGCTCGAAATTATACAAACAAAATCTTTAACAGCTACTCAAACAATTTCCAGCTTGAAAGAAATTTTCGCTAGATTTGGGTTACCGAAGACAATAGTTTCAGACAATGGTACTCAATTTGTAAGTCATCAATTTCAACAGTTTTTAGTGGAAAACGGCATTAATCATATACGAAGCAGTCTGTACTAACCCATGTCAAATAGACAAGCCGAAAGATTTGTGGATACTTTAAAGCGAGCACTCAAAAAGTTAAATGGGAAGGGGGTAACTGCTGAAAATCTTCAAATATTTCTACAAGTTTACCGATCAACTCCGAATAAGCAAAATGAGGACAGTATATCGCCAGCTGAAGTTTTACTAAAAAGAAATATCCGTGTTAAACTTGACTTGATTAAACCAACGCTGGTGTCTTTACCAGACCCAAATGCCACGCTTAAAAACAAGTGCGATACACAACTCAAAATGAAAGCGCAGTTTGACAAAAGGCACGGTGCAAAGCCAAAGTTTTACGAAAGACACGAGCTCGTTTATGTCAATATATATAAAAAAAGAAACACTTTGAATGGACAAAAGGAAAAATAATTGAACGCATAGGTTATGTCATTTACAATGTTCGCTTACAAAATGGCAAACCTATTCGTGCACATGCCAACCAAACTCGTTACCGAAAAGATCATAAAAATGAGTTATCATCAGAAATACGTACTTCCGAAGATATCGCCAACGAAAAGTGTTTAGCTGATGCATTCGGCCTCTACGAAACAACACCTAAAGATGTAGTCAAAATAACTAACAAATACATAGTTTCGACTCCAGCTCAATCTTTCAACGAAGTATCCGAGATTGCAATTCATCAAACTGAGAAGCACAATGAGGCAGTTGTTCCGTATACCCGACCAAGGCGTACTGGATATCCTATTGACCGATTTAGATCCTAGAATCACCGCATTGGAGATTCAATCTCAAAAGGGGAGGTGTTGGCAACCCTGGCCTGTGATGACAGATGACGTATAAAGAAAAATCCACATGTTAGTTTTGTTACTTGTGAAATATAAAAATAACTAGGAGTTTTTGATAAATAAAGATCGAAATTATACAGGTACAGATGCTCAAAAGTTGAGAAGTATGGCGTTCATAGTAACAAAATATAGTGATAAAAACTAACATATGAAAAATGAAAGAACAAAATTAACAATGGCAGCAAGGGCAAATAATTGTGTCTATAATTACAGACGGTTAGAATATACTTACGCGACCGGAAGTTTTTTATGGATGATCATGCTACTGAAACTATCAGCCAGATTTTTAAATCTCGGGTTAACTCCTTAAATTAAATTATAGACCATATGTACAAGTAAATTTAATACTTTGCTCGTTATGTAATATAGACCAGTTTAAGGACATAATACATACCATTCAATTCTGAAAGAAATGCGTTACAAATTCTATATAAACACACTCTAACAGAAAAAGCAAACTGCGCCGCAATCTCTGGCTTTGTGATAGATGCAATTAGTTGCAGGCAAAAAAAAAAAATAGTAAAAGTTTTTAGATTTGAATAAAA